TAATATTCTTTAAAAAAAAAAAAAATAATATATATATATATATATATATATATATATATATATATATACACACACAAATTTCCTAAGTTTTAAAGAAAGCAAACTGAAAAAAACCAGAAACCCTATTGACCACTACATGGGTCATGAGTAGAATTGGAATCTTTAGACTCCCCAGCATAGACCTCTTGCCACTTGAGCTAACTAACTGTAGCGGTAATAGGCTGTTGTCCTCTGTGACCTAGCCAGTAGAGGTTGATGAAAGACATACTTTCTTAGTCTGTTTCACAGCTGTTTGCTACACGTAAAGAGGAATGATGATTCTCAGGAATTCTGAGTTCAATTCAAAGTTCAGGAAGAGAGTGTTGATCTTTTTAATATCCTGTGTTTCCAGTGTCAAAAACCGAGGTGAGGTTGAATTAAACTAACCATTTACTGTTTCCACGTGTCAGATGTAGAGAAAGTAACATTAATGAATCGTCAGAGTAAGAGGGTGTTAGGTTATAAAATGACAAGATAATGCTTATCAGCAATTTATCTTTAAGAATTTAGTTTTAATCTTAGATTTTTATTTTGTCATTTGACTTTCAACATATAGCACTTGCAGTTAATTTTTGTGGCCCATATTCAAGAAACATTCCTATCCACAAAATCACTTAAGCACCTGTTTAATTTGAACTCGGAGCTCAGACACAAGTGCTTTCATGAACTGGGTCCTATAATTGGATATATACCTTATATTGCAACAGAAATATCATGGAAGCTAGTTAAGTGACATGGCATTTTAATGCATTTAATTTTTTTAGACATTAGTTTGATCACCAGGAAAACCAATTCTTCAGGGACAGTTTTCCACATCACTAAACATAACTTGAAGTCTTCTCAAAACAGATGAATTCTGAAATAGCTTGGATGCACTGTGGTGCTGTCGAAACAACGTGGCCCATGTAAAATTTTGTCCAGGAACTGCATGTGCTTTGTTTGGTTCTAGCCAACGCTGTCAGTATCTCTTTCAGTGACACTAAAATGCACTAAACTAAACAATCTTATGCAATGTCTGGTTATTACTATGCCGTCATTGTTTGAATGACTGTAGTCATAGTTTAGAGTTTGGGGTTCAGTTCCTACTTGGAATAAACTCTTATTTGTAAATGGGGGAGATCTATATTTTATTTTTGTTTTACTTAGATTGTATTTTACTGTAATCTGCTGTTGTTTCTGGTTGGTTCTGTAGTGAAGTACAATAGGATCTCAGCTATCCGAACACTAGAATTATTCATATAATTGGGAGTCAATTTAAAGAAAAATACTGTAACAAAATGTTCAATAAAGGCTCCTCTTCTCCATCATTTGCTGAAACCATTCATGGTTTATTTTTTATTTGGCCTCAGCAGCACTTTGCATTGATATGCAAAGTCTTAAAGTTTTCTTTTATAGTTCTGTAGTGTCTGTAATTGTGAACACGCATCTCCTTCCCTCATACAGCCAGAACTATCACACTCTTCTTGTTTCCAGATCTGTCCGTTATTGCCAAAATCTCCTGCACGGCTTTTCAACAAGAATTAATAAATACAAAGGAATAAGTGCCTTATAATTGGTAAGCAATTAACAAATTGGCAAAGTGACCTCATAAAGTCATAGTAATGTTCCTTTCAGGCCTTAGAATCTATCGTCCACTCTGGCCTTCTGTATAACACATGCCATAGAGCGTCCCAAAAATAATCCTTAGTGTCTATTTTTTAGAAAAACATCCATTCTTGATTTAAAAATTGGCAGTGATGGAGAATCCACCACGATCCTGTTGGAAACTGTACTCTCATCCTTAAACATTTACACCTTATTTCCACTCTGAATTTGTCTAGCTTGAACTTCCAACCATTGGATTGTGTTATAACTTTCTCTGCTAGATTGAAGAGCTCATTATTAAATATTTTTTCATCATGTAAATATTTGTAGATTGTAATCAAGTCATCCCCTCAACCTTTTCTTTGTTAGACTCAAGGAGCGCAATCTATTTAGCTCTATAAGGTATGTTTTCTAATCCATTAATCTTTATTGTGGCTCTTCTCTGAACCTTCTGCAAGTTATAAACATCCTTTTTGAATTGTATGTTCTAGACTGGACACAGTTTTACAGCAGTGGTCTCACCAGTGCCAACTACGGAGGTAAAATAACCACTCTACTCCTACTCAGAATTCCCCAGTTTATGCATCCCGGGATTGCATTAGCTCTTTTGGCCATAGTGTCACACTTGGAGCTGATGTTCAGCTGATTATTCATCACAACCCCCAAATCTTTTTCAGAGTCACTGCTTCCCAGAATAGAGACCCCCATCCTGTAAGTATGGCCTATACTCTTTGTTCCTAGATGTATACATTTACATTTACAATATTAAAACACATATTGTTTGCTTGTGCCCAGTTTACCAAGCAATCCAGATCACTCTGTATCAGTCACCTGTCCTCTTCATTATTTACCTCTCCCTAATAAACTAAAATTGGCAAATTGTTTGCTAGACAGGGAGATAGGCAGATTCAGATACTGGTGATTTTGGATAATCGGGGAGCCTAATCTAATAAGCATATGATCATGTCTGTTGCTATGGCAGTGATGGAGATAGTAGAAATTAGCATTATGATTTTCTTACAGGATCCGAAAGGACAAACAGATGAGTTATGAAAGCAGTAATACTTGTTCAATAAACACAAGTCTATTACTAGCAAACCCGATAAAAATTCTGCAAAACTTGTATTAGGTAAGTGGATTTGTTTTAGTTTATGTAGTTTCCACACTTAGGGCTTGTCTATACTTATGCGCTGGTTCGGCGGCAGGCAATCGAACTTCTGGATTCGATTTATCGCGTCTTGTCTGGACGCGATAAATCGAACCCAGAAGTGCTCCTCGTCGACTCCGGTAATCCTGCTCGGCACGAGGAGTATGCGGAGTCGACGGGGGAGCCTGCCTGCCGCGTCTGGACCGCGGTAAGTTCGAACTAAGGTACGTCGACTTCAGCTATGTTATTCACGTAGCTGAAGTTGCGTACCTTAGTTCGAATTGGGGGGTTAGTGTAGACCAGGCCTTAGTGTACTGTATGCACCAACCCCACAGGGAAAACAATGGATTTAAGACAAAATTAGTTGAGCAGCTGAACAGATAGGGTGCATGTTACATAATTGCATCATGCTTTGGGAACTCTGTTGGGGCCCAAAATGCTAGTACTACATTAATTTGAGAAGGGGGAGTATCTCAGCATGGCATTTGTTGTGGAGCCTGGTGTGGACTTTGACACTTGCTGGATGTTTGAAGTGCAAACACAGGTGTGTGTTGTGTGACAAGTGACTTGACTTCTGTGTTTGGAGACAACAACACCTGTTCTCAGATTTGGAATTGTTGTCTTGATAACGTCAACCCTAAATGTTCACAAATCTTGATTCAGGCCCTCCAAAAAAGCATGAGATTAGCTTAAAAATCACAAGATTTAAAAAAAAATGTTGGGCTGTTTATTTGCGTTCCAATTTCCTAACTTGATATACTGGGGTCATTCTTTCAAGCTTTGTGTCACAACAGTGAGGGCCAGAAACTTACTTTTTTAATGAAAGCTGAGATTCTCATGTAATCACTTGATTCCAAGAATTGAGTCTCTAAGAAAAACAATAAATATGGTGAGATTCGTGATGAAATTGTGAGAGTTGGCAACACTGTTGTCAGAAATGTTTAAGACTTCTTTTAAGTCTTTATTGTAATGCCAAAAACAGAAGATAATTTTTCATTTACCAAATACAGTAATGTGTGCTAGTAAGATAATGAGGAGATTAGAATTGCATGATTGTCCACAGGTAGTTCTTCACATGTTCTTGTAATAATTAGATAATTCCTCATTTCTTCTATCAAATTACTGTATTAAACTTCTTTAAAAGCTTTGATTCTCTAGTTTCATGAAGATGGTATTTCCAATATTCATTGACTGATGGTCAGTTAGTGACCCCAAGTGGATTTATTAGGGAATAGCATGTTCCATTGACGAGACATCTGTTAGCGCATGTAATGAAGGCATCAGTGGGAATCCTAGAATATCAGGGTTGGAAGGGACCTCAGGAGGTCATCTAGTCCAACCCCCTGCTCAAAGCAGGACCAATCCCCAACTAAATCATCCCAGCCAGGGCTTTGTCAAGCCTAACTGGAACTCCAGTTAAGGTTGAATTGAGATGTACACTTAGTTCAGGACTAAAATCCTTCTGTTTCACACTTTAGTGAGTAAAAATAGTCTCAAAATTTGGCAGAAGACAGTTGAATTTTCTGTGTAATATTTTTAAGAAAACTTTGCAGAAAAGACATTTAATAATGCTCTCTTTTTTTCAAAATTTGTCCTGACAATTTTGCAGGCTTTTGGGGGTGGGGGAGGCAGGCAAAGGCGTCATATAGGGAGGGCAGGAGGGTCACCTACCCCCCCGCCATGTTTCATACCACATTATAATTTTATGAACAATACACACATTTAAAATGTGAAGTTTAGGCAGTCACATTCTTTTTGCTGATTTTCCTAGCCTGTTCCTACAAATCCCATAATCCCCAGCCACCACCTGTTGGTGCTCCTCACTTCAGCGGGAAGTTTATTAGCTCACTGTGCCAATTCTTGTGTTGAAACAGTCCCGTGTCTACACACACACTGATGGAGGTTGGAAGAATTCTGCTTTTTAGACATGGTGTTCCGTCCTCTCTGGTAAGTATGTGGTTTTTTTTTTTTATAACAATGTGTCATTATTTGGTCTCTTATTTTACTTTGATTAAAAAAAAAATCCATTTAAGTTGCTTACATCATATTCACTTGATTCTTTAGTCCATCACTTCAGTATTCACTGAAGTTCACAGGCTTCTGGCAGAGTCTGCTTCATTTTATAACGCAATACCTTGTTTATTTGAATTACATAAGAGAGTAAAAGTAAGTAAACTCTCTGAACTCATAATGTTCCTATGTCACTATGTAAGAACTCGGGTTTTCACAAAGTAAACTTGTTGCCCTGACAGCCTGAAAACACACACAATAATAGGCCAGGGATTTAAAAAAAAATATTATTATAGTTTTTAACTAGTTTAGGGGATTTTGTTGTTGTTGTCACTTCTTGGTACTTCCTGTCAAAAGATGCAATGCACATATATTCTCTGTAATTTTATTCTTTCAAAGTTTAAGGATTACAGTACTGTTCTTCTAGTTTTTTTTTTTACTGGTCTATGTATTTCTTAATTTTCTCTTATACTTAAATTTAATTCTTTGAGTAGCGAGATCTAAAATGTCTAACCTGCCCTGGCTGGAGTAATTATCATTATTACTTTTATTACCATCTTCTGCTTTGTCATTTATTATTTAAAGTGATACAATAAAATAGTAGTAGCCTTCTAGAATGTAAACTTAGCTTGTACTCACCTTAGGCATGCCACTTTCAAGAAAAAAAATAAAGCAAATATTTAATATTGAGTGTCATTAACATTAGCGAAATACCTACGTTTAGACACTGTGCAGATGAAGGTCGCTTATTTTCAAATTGTATTTTTAATTATATCTGTAAAATAACTTAACATTTGAAAGAGAGAAATACAGTTCCAAGTCTGATACTAATAGTAACGATGGAGTCAAGTGTTAGTGAGTCATGTACATGATTGTGACTGATAAATGTGAATGCCAAAATAAATAGAAAAATAAATCCCCATTCTTAATAAAAGAGAAAATAAAACTTAATTGTGTATGTTAAAATTAAGTAAAGACCGTTTTAGTGGAGTGAAAAACAATTGACTAAAATAGAGTAGATCAGAGGTTCTCAAACTGTGGGTTGGGACCCCAAAGTGGGTCGCAACTCCATTTTAATGGGGTCGCCAGAGATGGTGTTAGACTTGCTGAGGTCCAGGGCCGAAGCCTGAGCCCCACCACTCAGTGCCGAAGCCAAAGCCTGAAAAAAGTAAAAAAAAACCAAAACATTTATTTTTGTTTCATGTGGTTTTGTTTCATTAATTGCACAAGTATTCACTGTCTCATTGAAAGGCATTGCTGTGTTGCCTTTAAATAATATTTAATACAAATATAGTAATAAAATCTTACACTATTCTTATATTTTATTTTTATGTTTAAAAGTTGATTTTAAAAAAAAACCTCATGTACAATGGCACCTGTACCACCACGGCAGAGGAATATTTTATCATCTTTTTTTTAGAAAAGAAAGGCCCCTGACCATGAAAACTGTGACAATGAAGAACCATCCTTGAAAATGAACTGTGCAAATGCTTCCTCAAGTAACATTGTCCTGCAGTCAACCCAAAACCAAACAGGATAATGATCCTTGTGCCAGTATATCAATGGCCACCAACTACACATCTAAGGATGTCCTGTGTGCTCTGACATCACCAGCGGGGGCAGAAGGTTTTGTTCATGACAGGAAAAACATCATCTCCACAGCTTATTTCATTGCACAAAGAGGAACAACCAACACAGCCTAAGGTGGATTTATATCCTACAGATGGTGGACGTTTCAACTGTAGTTGGTTTTCTTTGTACCCCTTTATTGAATACTCAGTTGTAGAGGATTCTGTTTTTTGCTTTCCATGCCATCATTTTGCTACTCAAAGCAAAATTGGACCAGGAGAACAATTCAACAACAGAACATTCATTGGGCATAGCTTTAAGAAATGGAAAGATTTTCATAGTTTGTTAAAACAACATCCATTCAGTTCCAGGCATATGGCAGTTTTCATTTCATCGCAAAACTACTTGAAACTTAGGATCAGCAGTTCAAAAAGGGTTGCAGATCAACTTGTTTCTAGTTGTCAGGCTCCATAGCTGAAAATTGCCAGCATATTGAGACACTCTTAGAGGTATCCAGGCACTGCGTGGTATTGCTTTTCCAGGGCATGATGAAATACGTAACTCTAGCAATCAAGGCAATTTCATGGAAATTCTTGAGCTGGTTGCTTCCACTCAGCCCAGCCTTTTGAATAGATTCAGAACAAGTATGGACACTGTGATCCAGTGTGTCTGGGGCAGCCCTTACTGGAAATGCCAAGTTCAGGGCAGGCTGCAAAAGGGAGAGCAGATACTTTCAGGGTAACCCTGAAGTTAAACTCCCCAGCCAGTCACAAATTGTGCTCCCGATCCCCCACACTGGTTATTGAGAAGCTGAAAAAGGAAATCACACAGCCCTCTTTATTGCATTCCAGTTCTCTCGCTCCCAGTCAGCACACAGGTCCAGTACAGTGAGAAACTATTTAAACTCTGCTCACATATACAAAATGTTCTTCTGACCCCAAATGGTCAGCCACTTTACCAGGTCAGTATAGGTTTGGAGCTTACTCAAAATACCACACTGACAGCCAATCCTTTAACATCTAAAACTAAATGTTTATTGTAAAGAAAAAAGAACAAGAAGAGAGATGTTAAATGGTAAAGCACTCACATACATACCAAGATTCAAAGTTCATGTATCAGACTCCTAGCATTGGTGAGTTTATTGGCTTGAAAGTCCCTCTGGAACACATCCACAGCTTGGATGGGTCATTCAGTCCTTTGTTCAGAGCTTTGTTTGAAGAAAGGTTACTCCAGAGGTAAGAAGCAGGACTGAAGACAAAATGGAAAAGATGCAGTTGCCTTTTATGGTCTTTTGCCACGTGGCTTGTGCTTCCTTTGTTCCAAACACAAGCTGCCCAGCACATGGCCTGGAAGCCTTAGAGTTCTATCCATATGCATGCTGAGTCATAAGGTGTAGCCCTTGACCCTTTCAGTGGGTTAATTGTACAGTTGATGTTCCTTGATGAGCCATCAAGCAGGCTAGGCCGTGCTGATGCCAAACTCTCTGGGGGTGTCACCCAGAAGCATAGCACAAGTTTGAAATACAGACATACGTACATACCTATAACTCATAATACAAAAGTGATACAAACATATAAACAAGATTATTATACTTGACAAATTATAACATTTTTGCAGATATCTTACATGGCATATCTGGCACAACGCATTGCAATTTTACAATATTGGTGTAAATATCCTAAAGTGTCATAATATCCTAAAGTGCCCCCCAAATTCCATACAGCGTCACAGACACTGTACCTCTCACCAGTACCAGAATGATTTAATACATTCTGCAGCAGAACTCCTGAGAGAAAGCATTGTTGAAGAGGTTGGACAAGCAAGTATTTTTCAGTCCTTATTGATGAAACTAAAGATGCAATTAAAAAAAAAAAAAGAACTGTGTCCCCTTTTTTGCTACTATCGAAAAGGAATCATTCAGGAACGAATTCTGGGCTGCTGCCACATGGAAAATCTAAATGCTGAATCTGTTTAAAAATGATTATTGAAGAACTACAGCATTTGAAGCTTGATATTAATTACATTGTTGCTCAGTGCTATGATGGAGCTTCTATCTGGGTGGGCACTTAACAGGAGTACAAGGTCAAATTCAGGAAAGGATTATGCCTGCTATTTATGTGCACTGCCATGCTCGCAGGCTTAATCTTGTCATTGCAGATACATATTCCAGCATCACCCAGTATCAGGAAGTCTTTGCATTTGCCAAGGAATTGTACATCTTTTTTAGCAGTGGTTACAAGCACCATGAACTGTTTAAGGCACAGCAGGAGCTAGGCCAGAAGGTACTTGAGCTATGTACAGTATGTGAAACTCGCTGGTCGTACCAGTATGACTCCCTCTGAAAACTGCATGTAAGTTACGGCACTGTAGTGGAAACACTGGAAGCCATTTCAGTTCAGAGAGCTGATGGACCATCAGTTAGCTCTGGAAAGGACTTGATGGTAAGGCTAAGGAGCTATCCCTTTCTGTTGAATCTCTTGGTTTTGGAAAGAATATTCAAAATTTTTAATAGTGCTTTAGAAGAACTGCAGAATAAAAAATTGAATTTATCAAGTGCCATGGAATTAGTAGCAAGCAATGTTGCTATTCTTCAAGAAATAAGAACATCTGAAAGCAAATGGAAAGTACTATGTGATGAAGATGAGATCATTGCCAAGGAACTTGAAACTGGTAGTTCGGGTCAGGCAGTTGGACCCTATCAGCACAGCAATACAAAAAATGGCAAGAAGACCTAACAAAGTATCCTTCAAGCTGGCTTATTTGTTTCTAGTACACTGAGTCAGTCATTGACACATGATGTTCCCAAGAGCACTCAATCTATAAAATCTGATTTCTACTATCCTGTTCTGGACAGAATTCTTGCTGAGCTTGATAAGAGGATTCAACTTCAACTCCAGTTTACTTTCTGCACTAACTGCTTGTGACCCAAAAAGTGAAAATTTTCTTGATTATGAGAAATTGAAAATAATTGCAGGATCAACAGGTACCATTTTTTGTGATCTGGATGCAGAAGTTGAAGTTGCCAAGAAGCACATTGCACCAAAAAAATTGACTTCAATTTCTGAATTCTGGAATGTTCTCAGTGACATACCAAGGGGTTACCAGTCTTTGCTGTCTAGTGTAGATTTTGTGTTGAGCCTTCCAGTCTCTACAGCATCACGTGAAAGGTACTTATCTGTGCTCAAGAAAGTAAAGGACTATTTAAGATCCACAATGGGAGAGGAATGCTTAAGTGACTTGGTAATTTTAGTCTGTGAATGTGAAGCTTCAAAACACCAGGATATCAACAAGGCCGTTAACAATTTTTCCAAGATGAGACCATGCCATTATCCATTGTATTAGCTCATATCTGGAGTAGTATTGATTGTTTTTTTAATAATTTATTTACCTTTAAACATTCCTGGAATAAATTTATCTGTCTCATTCTCATTACCCCGCTCCTGCCCTGAAGGGCTTAAAACAGCCCTGGGGGAAGGTTGTGGCTGGGAGCTGCTAAGCTGGGCTGATTGGGAAGCAGCTGCAGCTGGGCCACACCCCAATCAGGCCTCAGCTGGCCCTATATAAAAAGGCTGTGAGCCAGAGGCCAAACAGTCCCTCTCTTTGCCTTCAGAGGGAGAAGGGCTTGGCTGCAGCGAGCTAGAGACCGAGTACCTATGTGGAGCAGGGCTGGGGACAGGCTGAGGAGTTAGGGAGCTCCAGCCTGGAAAGCCCCAGGCTGCGGCCTAGTAGGAGGCCAAGGGGTACTGGGGATTGCAGAGGGCAGCCCAGGGGTAGGCCAAGGCAGCAGGTCCAAACCTCCCTTGCCAGTGATGAGTGGCTGATACTGCAGTCTGCCCCAGGGAGTGGGGGCTTGATAGTGACTGGCAGTGGCCTTATTCTGAGGTGAGGTGGGGATAGTGGCTGGGGGTTCCCCAGGGAGGGGAGACCCAGATCTTTGGGGTACTGCCAGGGGGCAGCAGCCCAGTAATAGGGGCACCGGGTCCTGGGAAGGGCCTGGGGCCAGAGGACAGGTGGACCACTGGCCTGCAGAGGGCGCTCCAGTGCTGAAATGAGCTAATTCCCAGAGACGAGCAGCAGGAGGCGCCGCAGGGGTGAATTCGCCCCTCTACAAAGACATTTTAAAAAAAAATTGTAGGGGCAAGCAGATTTTATTTATCTCTACTAAAGATAGAATACAAAGAATTAAACTTGTGTTTCTGATATCTGTGTTAAGGCTCCAAAACTGATACCTCAAGGCTCGGGATTGGGAACATTTGCTAAACTTACTAAAAATGTGGTTTTAATTGGTGTTTATGTATATATTTTTTCTTTATATAGGAATTAGATACACTGCTTCTGTCAGATAATTTCTAAATTATCTGCAAAAAAGCTAGAGTTTTCAGGTGCCTAAGTAGCCCCTGAAACCATGGTCGGATGGACACACATGCCAAATCTGAAATGGCATCCTGGGAGGCAAGGGGTCCTCTAGCTAAACAACTGGTGTGTGTGTGTGTGTGTGTGTGTGTGTGTGTGTGTAGTAATAGTAATATA